TCAAACGCTTATCTTTGTAAGAGGCGCATCGTACCAATCAATTTAAAATACCTCGATGTTTGAAACTGCAGAAAATCCAGAGTCTCGAATATGGTTGGCCACAATATTGAACGAATTTCGAAGCTTCTCAGCTAATCATACCGTGTGTTTCCGAATAATCGAAGTAGTAAGTGCCCCTTAAATTCCGTCGCCGACTGTATCCCTGCTATGGGAGAATTATTCTCGAACGAATATACCACGTGATCACTTCGCTTGATTAATAGTGGTACTCGCCCATTTAACGTCCATTGCATGGTACTAGCATTCAGCATTCCTGAACGATTTTCCTGTCTTGCCCAGAACTGTATCAATATCATTTGAGTTTATCTGATTCTCTAACGATACTATATACAGTACAAGTAACTATAAGGTACAATTCTCCCATTTATATGAGTGTTTGTTTCTATAGAACTTTGTATGCTCGGACAACATCACCTCATACTGAGGCATCGCTAGTGGTTAGCTATCGCTAACCAGTGACAAGCACTTAACCCCCGAAGATTTAGCATCGTAGATTTAGCATCGTATGTACTCACCGGGGGTAGGACAGCGTCCCAGGTTACAGTGATACCTCCCTCATTGAAACAGTATTTCGGGTCAAAACAACAGTCAACTGTTTTACATTTACAGTTAATGAGGGAATTATTCCGTTGCAGGTATCTAGTTGGATGGCCAATGGGTAGTTTATAGATGAAGGGCACCATACGACTGGAACTAATTCCTGACGAAGGCCAATCACAACTAGTGCATGGATCTACGAGTAATCTATTCCACATGTCGACTTCAATATCTCATCGAGATGGATTGGTGCATGCAGACACCTTGGTAAAGATATTCCTTATGGGAATCCGGCAGGTTGCGTTGAACGACTTGCACGCCTGGTCTTCGCTTCAATGGTCGACATTTTTGGCCAACTTCATTTTCCTTTTTGCTCTACGATGGTCAAAGTCCTCATCTCCCTCAGCGTGTTGGCCGCTGCCGCTACGGCTGGCTCCGTCACGGAACTCCCCGAGTCTGTGACCAAGCTCATCGACTACTCCATCAATCCCTGCGACGACTTTTACCAATATGCGTGTGGCGCGTGGCACAATGATACTGTGATACCCCCGGGCAAAACCCACATCGGTACGCCGTTCTACGAGATCAACATCCAAAACGAAGCCGTATTGAGCAAGATTTTCTCTGACAACACGACCAAGCTTGGTCAGTTTTACAACTCCTGTTTGGACACGGCTACGCTATCGTCGCTCGGCCTGACTCCGCTGGAGGACTCGTTCAAAGCCATTCGGTCGGCCAACACCACATTGGACCTCCTCATCGTGGCTGGTGAATTGGTCAAGAACGGCATCCCTGCCTTCGTGAACATCTTCTCCAGCGCTGACGACAACGACTCGACCAAGAACGCCCTCTTCGGTTTCCGAACCCCCCTGCCGCTGAGTCGCTCATACTACACCAACCATTCCGAGTGGGAGACCGTCGAAGCCGACTACAAGGTGTACATTGCGACGGTGTTGCAGCTAGCTGGCTACTCTGCTGAGCAAGCGGAGGCTGCCGTGCCGGTGATCATCCGTTTCGAGCAAACTCTGGCGGGTGTCGCCCTCAGCAGACTCGAAGAGAGCGAGGCCGTTGTGTCTCCGTATACTGCGCTTACGTACTCCCAACTAAACCAGAAGTACCCGCTGCTTGTCGGCTCGTGGCTCAAGGCCCACGGCTTCGACATCTACGACCAGTGGGGTGGGTCGAACGACTGGGTGAGGCTTTACGACTTGAACTACTTTGACAAGACCGAAGAGTTGTTGAAGGACGCGACGCTGGACAATCTCCGCACCATCGTGGAGTACAAGCTCATCCACGCCTCGTCGAACCACTTGGCCCCTGAATTCCAGACGACCAACTGGAACTTATTCGGCAAGAAGCTCAAAGGCGAAACGGTGGAACCTTCTCGTGAAACGTTCTGCAAGGATCAGACACGCGAGACCGTGGGTGATATCTTGGGCCAGTACTTCTTAGACGCGGTGTGGTCGGCTGATACGGCCAAGACGGCCGACGACCTGGTCAAGGCCTTGAAGTCGTCCTTCTCTACTGGCATTGCCACCGCCGACTGGTTGGACAACTCGACCCGCGCCAACGCACAAACAAAGCTGTCCAAGTTTGTACACTTGTTGGGTGGCCCGGAGAAGCCGCAGCTGTACCCCACGCTGACGTTTGACTCGAAGTCGTATTTGAACAACCGGTGGAAGGTGTCTCAAGTGAACATCGACACCAACTTGAAGCTGAAGGGCCAACCTGTGGACAAGCGCAGGTTCGTCGTAGCCGCCCAGAGAGTGAGCGCGTTATACAGCCCCCACGACACCAAAATTGTGTTCCCGGCCGGCATTTTGCAAAAACCACTCTTTGACGGCCAATTTGACCCCGCCCAGAACTTTGGTGCCATCGGGGCGATCATCGGACACGAAATTACCCACGGGTTTGACAACGAAGGCCGCAAATACGATGGCGATGGCAACTTGAAACAGTGGTGGTCGAACGCCACCAACGATGCGTTCAAGACGAAAGCCCAGTGCATTAGCGATCAATACTCCAACTTTGTTGTCAAGAGCGAAGTGAATGGCACTGTATTGGGCAACATCAACGGTACGATCACTTTGGGCGAAACCATTGCGGACAACGGGGGGCTCAAGACCAGTTTCCGCGCGTACCACGAGTACTTGAAGGAGTTCCCGTCCCAATATACGGCAGAAGCAGGCGACAAGTTGTTCTACTTGTCGTTCGCCCAATCCGCGTGCTACAAGAACACGGATGCCAACCTCCTCAGATCTTTGAAGAGAAAGCACCCGCCCTATCGGTTTCGCGTGACAGGGGCGTTGCAAAACAACGCTGAGTTTGCCCGTGTGTTCCAGTGCCCCACCGACTCGTACTTGAACCCGTCCAAGAAGTGCTTGTTGTGGGAATAGGGTTGATCGATACGAAAATATGTAGCGTTGTGCATTTGTAAGGAAAAACTAAGAAAACAGTGTCTTGGTTGAAGTGTGTTGCTTTCATGCGCGGCTCACACAAAAAACTAATAATGCATATGTGAGATCACCCTCGGATTCGCCTAGTTAGCTGTTTGGTCATGAACTTGAGATAATTTCAACTACTCGACGATATCGGGTGTGTAAGGTTCGGATTGATACATAAGCCCTGTTCGAGCACCAGTCACAGTCACCCTGTGGGATTGTCAAAACTGTAAATTGCCCGGATAGAACTGTAAAATAGCGTTTACAGTCGCACCGGTGGGGATGCTCTAAGCCGACTACCGACGACACCTCCAACGGAGCAGTCACGACCGAGTTTGCTAGCCGAAGAAGTAACATCTCCGGAACCCCAGCACCCGATCAAGTACCGGCCCGACATCGACAGGCTACGGACGCTCGCGGTGGTTTCCGTGGTCCTGTTCCACGCGTACCGGCACTCGGTCGAAGGCGGGTTTACAGGCGTCGACGTGTTCTTCGTCATCTCTGGCTACCTTATCTCGGGCATCCCCTTCAAGGAAAAACGCAGAAGCTCGTTGACGTACGCCTACTTTTACTAGCACCGCATCTTCCCAGCGCTGCTGCTCGTGTTCACGCTTACGCTGGTCGTGGGCTGCGTGTGGCTGCTGGACAAGGCGGTCCAGTACGCCTACTTTTACTCGCACCGCATCTTTCCAGCGCTGCTGGTCGTGGGCTGCGTGTGGCTGCTGGACAAGGCGGTCCAGTCCTTCACCCTCGTGGCCGGGACGCCCTTTGTGGCCAACATCCAGCTGCTGACCGTCCAACAGGGCTACTTTGATGCCAGTGTCAAGGAGAATCCGCTGCACCCGTGGTCCCTGGGGTTGGAGGAGTAGTTTTGCATCTTTTGGCCGCTGTTTGTGTCCGTGATCAATCAGCTGTCGTTCTGCAAGGCGCTGGCGCCAAGTGGGTGTGATGATGACCAGCTTTGCGTGCAATGCCCTCTTTTTGGGCTACAAAGATGAGTACAAGTTACTCGTTCGAAGTCGGTTCTGCCAGATAGAGGTGGGTGATGCTTTGATCTAACGTTAAGACCATCAGTAAGCGTCAAAACCGGTTTCTCGAATAATTCGTCAGGGGGAGCAGACTCAGGAAATACGCTCTTTACTGACTAAATCCTTATACCCATATATAGACGCACATATACATACAAGAGTATCAGGAACTGATGGTGAGCGATCACACAAATCCGCTGCTGTAGGCCAACAGCACCGTCAGGGATCCAGATTCGTCCATCTGGGTCCACGTAAAAATGGGAGTCGTCGTCCCAATCCACGCCATTTGGGGGGGTCCCTCCCCCTTCCATGGTTGAACGTTGGATGTCGCTGATCGTAGCGGCTGTCGGCCACTCGAAATCCACTTGTTGCAGGGGTGACACCACATGGATCAACTTGCGAACATTCGCAACTGGTTGATCCGTCGAAGCCGAACCCCATCGGCTCAGGAGGTCGCCCCATACATTTGCGTCACCCAAGACGCACTCAATGGTGTACGGGAAGGTCGACATCACCAGCGACCATCGCTGCAGCTTGTCGGCCTGGTACTTGGCCATGTTGGCGTTCGAGCCACTTGGGTTGAAGATGTACACCAAGTTGCGGTGATCCGTAAACAGACGGAAACCACCAGGGCGTACGACCAGGTAGTCGAGTCTCTTGCACGACTCGACCACGGCATAGGCCTCCTTCTCGACAATGGGCCAGCGCGCACTCGCGCCAGAAAATGACCAACTGATGAACGCAAGCGGCTGGTTCCGCTGGGCTTCGAGAGGCAAGTCGAGGTCCGCTAGCGGTACTTTTGTGGCGACCGCACCCCAAAACAGGTCACTGGCGTCCGTGAAGACGCAGACCGTCATGTCTTCTCGCGGATGCGACAGGGGCACCACATGTGCCAACGCGTGTTTCACATCGTTGAAACACCTGAGATGGTCGGACGACCATCCCACGGCAGGGAGTGCAACACGCACTAACGCTGTATTCTTGCAGCTTCCGGCTGCCTTGGTGGCCACGTCGAGCAGACATCGCAACGGATCCACCAGCTGGTTGTAGCCGGGGATGCTCGCCCGCATCCAGTTGGTGGCACACACAACCTGCTGGAGGTCGGCCGCGGTCGTCGGCGGCGATATATCCACGAGTCCTTGAATTCGGCTTGGGGAATGGATGATTCCATCGGCCGAAATCACCTTGCCACACCATTGTGCCTCGCGCAGAAAGAAATGACACTTCTTCGGGCTCAACTTGGGTCCAAACTGGGCACAGATGGACAGGACTTGGTCCAACAAGTCGAGCAGCTCGTCCGTCGTCTTGGCGGACCCCAGCAAGTCATCGAGCCAGGCCAACAGGCCTCGAAACAGCAGCTCAACAAACATTTGATGGACAACCGACTGGCAGTACGCGACAGCGTC